ACGATGACGACAACGCGGAGAGGCTCACTCGCTCGCGATCGTTCTCACCCATTCTCGCTCGAGCTGTCCTCTCTCTCTCTATCTTGCGCTTGCTCGCTCGCTCACTCGTTCGTTTGGCTGCTGCTGGCTGCCGCCATCACTGCAGCCACCGCTCCGCCCAGAGAGAGAAATACGGTGAGAAGGAGAGTGAGAGACTCGAGGGGGAGAGAGTGCGGGAGAAAACATGAGTGAGCGAGTGAAGAGACACAGGCAGCTCTTTCCTTGTCGCCATCGCCAGTGCTCATTCTCTCGTGTTCTATCATCCGCTCACGGCTGTGTAGAGCCTGTCGGCGGCGTCGTCGTCGTGGTTGCTGTCTGTCGTTTTCTTCTTTTCTCGATCTTCTCGCTCCCGGCACATCCACGTTAGCAAAAAGCTCTTTTTCTGCGTTCGCTGGCTCCCCGTTCGTCTGCAGAGCAACCAGCCGGCCGGCCAGCCAGCCAGCCAGTCCGCTTGCCTTCCTCCCCCACTCGTTCCTCCGTCGACTGCGCGCAGTTTGTTGTTGCCGGTGGAAGTTACCGGAGTAATGGGAGGATTGTCGGACCTACGAAGGCGAAAGTGGACGCTCGGACTATTGAACGGGAGAACGGACCGAGCTGAACGTCGAGCCTTCCGCAAACTTCCAGTTCAAGCCGGCGATGCGCGCTCCGGAGAATCGAAATACCAGTGTCCTAGTCACCAGTCCTCAGACAACGGTGGCAGAATCCTGTGATCCGCTCTTAGCCTCGCTAGCCGAAGACTGCTTCCTGGATCCGGAAATCCGTGAAAAAGAGGAATGCTGACAATGAGATCAGCCGAGCGGTTCGAAGTATTCGAAAGAGCACCCCTAGCAGCACGCTGCCGCCAAGGTGAAAATACGCGGTGGAAACCAATGCACCCGGAATTCATTCTCAACATACATCGTCCGCCTCTATCGAAATCCCCATTTCTCTAATCGTATGCGCTTTCCGAGCTCCTTTGCGGGTTCCACCCGCCCCGTGCTCTCTATTCCAACTTCACATTCAGGCTGAGATCGCCGAAAACACCGTGGATCGCGTTGAATATGATCGAGTTCAAGGGGATTGTTGCCTTTTGATCGATGTCATATCATTCCCTGAAGTAGGGGGGAGGGGATAAGGAAACTCGAATAAACACGCATAAATAGCCGTCGCAGTTAGCTGTTACCCAACGGTCTTACGGACAAGCAGAGTTTCGGTAATTCCTTTGTTGGCCGATTTCACAACCGTACGAGAGGGAGGCACCGAGCCCTCGGAACAGCCCTTCAGCCAACGAATCAAGCGACCGTCCAGCGTTGAGGTTGCGTGGCTAAGGGTCGAAGCATCCTTCCTGTTTTTCCTTCGTCCGTAATTAGTTTTCACAGAGACACATTCGGGAATTTTCTTCCACGTTCAAATCTTTCTCCGGACTCTTGTACATTCACGATTTGAACGATAATATTCCGAATCGAAAGCAGAAAATTCGCTCTGGGGACCTTTTCCGAGGAAATTCTCTCGGCGAGCCGTTACATCCGAGCAATCCGAGCAACACGAGCACCCCGTCGTTCTTTTCCTCCCACCAACTGTCGTCGAGCCGACATATATACAAAATTCTGCTCGAGCTGCTAAGAGTCGCGCCCCGATCTCACGCGTTCTGAATAAACGTCCTCGTGAATGTCGTCAGCACCGTAACGCGAATTGCATACGGCGGAGTTCTTACGAAACGCCGCGGGGTAGGGAGAGCGTGGTATAACTGGATGGCGGCTACGGTCGAAGGCTGGAGCGGCTTGCGATCCCTAATGATCGAAATTCATTCAAGAGCTCACGGCTCTTCCTCCAGATCACCGTTCACCCATGCCTTTGAAATGAGGCGATCCCTTGCCGAACACCTATTATCCGGACTGGTCGAGAATTCTCCACCGAATCCTTCGAGGAGTTCCAGGGGAACACTCACCGATTCCGGGCTGCTTCCCGCAAAGGGTTGCTCCTCAGCGTAGTTAGTTGCCTCGAGCTCCAGTAGTTGGCGTTGTCCAGGGCCGAGGTTGTGAGCGCAGCTATTCGTAGGCTGGATGGACAACTAACAAACAGATAAACAAGCAGAGACCGACAAAGACACAGTCGCATGAACACACGTAATCCAACAAGTCCGACCGGCTTCTATGTCGATCGACCGAAAGTCACTAGCCGGCACGTCTCACGATGCTGCGTCCGCCGCAGATTATTCGTAGTACTGCAGGTGCTGTCGTTGTGCTGCTACTACTGCTGCTGCTCGCAGGAATTTCACGACACCGAAAGCTGCAGCACTGGTGGAGTGTGGCGGCAGGCAGCCAGCAGCAGAGGAACTCGCACAGAGAGCTCAGCCTCCTGCTTGGTGATGGTGGTAGTGTGCTGGTGGTGGTAGTAGTGGTGGTGGTGGTGGGTCCCTCGGAGGGAGAGCAGCTCTAGCAGCCAACCCACGTCCCCCTCCTTCTCTTCACCCCCTCCCCCGTCGCCGTTCACATCCATCCCCCGCTTTGCTGACTGGCTGGCAGGCAGGCAGGCAAGGCAGCCTGCTTGCGTTCCCATTTTCGCCCTTCTCTGCTCCCCTCCTACCGTTGCCGCCCCAGTCGCGCTCCCCTATGTCTCTCGTTCGCCCTTCGGCGACCCCTTACCCTGCTGTCCCTTCCCTTAAGGCTTTCCCCCAACGAACCCTCCCCGAAGCTCCCCTTAGCGTCGACGTCCCCTTCTCCTAGGCTGCGCCCCTACTCGACTGCATTCCCTTCCTTAGGCGGGCGCCCCTTCGCTTCCTCCCTCTATCTCTCTTCTTCTTCTCATTCAGTTCCTCTCGGCCTCCTTTCGACTGTTCCCCCACCGCTTGTTTCCCCTCTCCCCAGCCTTGCTGGCTGGCTGGCTGCCCGCTTGCCCGCCCGCCTGCCTGCCTGTCTCTCTAGCTAGCTGGATGGCAGGCTGGCTGGGCTGCAGACCCATTCCCTCCGCTCCCCTTGCAGGCCACCGGCCGGGAGAGCGCTCCACCTCTATCCTCGACCTGCTCCTCCTCCTCCGCCTTCCCCCTTCGACGGTCGGTCGGTCGAGCGCTCGCTCACTCGCTTGCTCGGGAGGAGGAGAACGACGACGAGAGCCGGGAGAAGGAACAGAACGAGAAGCAGGAGAATGAGGAGAAGCGAAAAGAGGAAGAAGCATCTCTCGCCCGGAGAGAAACAGACACAGAGTGCAAGACCGACCGACCGAACGAGCGCGCGACCAAAGGAACGAGTGAGTGGACGAATGAGAGGAATACAGAGAGAGAATGTGAGAGCGAGTGACTGACTGAGTGAGCTAGCTAGCTAGCTAGCTAGCCAGCCGGCCAGCCATCAGGCTCGCTCACTCACTCACCCAGCCCCTCACTACCGAGCGAGAGACCGAAGACCACACAGAGCCCTCGGACAGACCGATTGACAGGCACACAAACGGACGAGCGGACAGGCAAGCAGAAACACTCTCACACACAGAAAGGCAGAGTTCCTTTCCTTCGTTTCTCTGCTGGCGGTCGACCAATACCCCATCGTCCTTGCTACTCTCCTCGTTGTTATTGTTGCTGCTTCCACTGTTGGGCAAGGTGGGCCGATCCTCGGGTTTGTCCTTCTCTTGCGGTGCTCATTCGTGGCGGGAGCCTTTGGAGTCCGCTCCGTGAGTGGTCACCATGGGAAACATGAGCGCGGTTGTGCTCGGTGGTCCTAAATTCCGAAGAGCCTGAATGGGAAGCTTTCGATGAATCCGGTTCCGAGTCCTGACTTATTGATACTCCTCCTCAACATCTTGCCGAAGGGGCGATACCGATGGAACCTATGGTTTTTGAGAGTCACCGTCTTCCGTCTCCGAAGGATTCCGAGGATTGATCCCATGCGACACTGAGTTGCGACATGAGGTGTCCCGGTCAAGGGATTCGCCAGGCAGCTAAACCTCCATTTCGCCTATCGATGAGCCATCCCATCAGCTCAAACTGGAACGTTCATACAATCCTAGCTCCTCCTCAACAATGTGAATGACTTCGCGGCGCAGACCCGAGGCGGCCGGCGAAAGCAAAGGTACGGGGACGGATGTGTGATCTCTGACGGGCAGTTGGGAATCGTCCGAGTCCAATCCGAAAGGAACAGGATAGCCCCCCCCCTCGGTGAAATCTTCGCTGTCCTGGAACTTCCGAACCGGTCATCAGCCTGAATCCCCCTCGACGATTCCATTGACTAAGCATGACCCGTACGTTCGGAGATCAATCATTCCCAATTCGAAAGTTGTTTCGCGGTCTGTATGCTTCGCCTGGCGTCCGACTTCGGCAGCCTGTGCGACTTTCGAGGGGCAATTCCCCTCACATCCTCGGAAGAATCGCTCCCAACATGGCGTGTGAGCGAATCAGATGTCCTTCCAGTTCTCATAGTAGTTGGGACTGGGCTCGACTGGGTCCCAATATCTAGTCCTGGTTCTATCCACCATGTTTCCATATAGAGGTATACCGTAGGTTTCTCGTGTTCGATGTGGGCCCCGAATCGCTCCGATCCAGAACTGCTCGTTCTTGCTCGTTCGAAAAGAGGGGAGAGCCGAGCGACCCAGCCTCGCTTCCATCAACCGATTAATTTGAAAGCGTGGAAAGGGTATAGCCGGAAAGAGCGGGAAAAAATCAGAGTTCCGAATCGGGATCGGCTTAGTTTCGTTGCATTTTTTCTCAGCTTTCCTACGACACCAAGCACGACCCTCTATCTATCACCGTTTTCGAGAAAATCTTCTAAAGATTTTGGAGGTTGAGGCGGATTATGCGGACTAGGGGGCTCGGGGAATCTGGGAACCCGGCTCAAAATCATCAACTCGCCGAGAGCTTCCGCTAGACACCCATGACGATCCGGAATGATTTTGGCCCAACAACCGGCCTCATTCGGCTGCACCCGTTGAGGGGTTATATCCCTGGCTCACTAGTCTCGTCATCGACTCGCAAAGTACTTCATGAGAGGGAGGGGACGATTTCCTTCATTTCCAAATAGTTTTATTGACACCTTCAACTTCGAAAAGTAGAACAACACGATCACCGGAGGAGCCCGTTGAGCTCCAGGGGTCTCTGCGTTGCTAACGTGCCAACATTTACGGATTCACGAAATCTTCCTGATTGACGACTTCCCATGATTCTCTGAGGGAAAATGGACCACGCACACACAGGGAGAACCGCTCCAGGCGAGATTTGTTCGTGAATCGGATTCGATGTTTGCCGAATCCGTCCTGATTGCTCCTTTCTGGGGGCTCTCCCGCAAGGTCTCATTACGATTGATCCTTACTCGTCGAAGTCCTTGTCGAAAATGAATTCGCCCAGGCCGTTACCGACGCGTTCGATGTTAGTCAGATGATCCGACAGTTCCTTGATCGCCTTCACCTGCTCCTCGAGATAGGTGTTCTCCAAGAAATCGCAGAACTAGAAGGGAGATCACATCAAATAATATCCATGGATCCCGTTGAACTAAATCCGAGATGATCTAGTGAATATATGCGTTCATATAAGAGCTGCTCGACTTGACGCTGTATTCGTACCTGGGGATCGTTCCGTTCGCCTGCGAGCTTGTGAAGCTCGAGAAGGCTCTGGTTGACTTGCTTCTCGAGCTCAAGAGCTGATGAGAAAGCCTCCGCAAGATTGCCCCACTCATCTTTAGCTGGCTTATTGATGCTTCGGAGGATGATGCGTCCACCTGTGATTCGGTTACAGGTTGGATGTGCTGACTCGGAATCAAGGAAAAGATTCGCATAACGAGTCTTGGAGAAAATGAACTCACCTCGCATGTTTTGGTATTCCATGAGCTTGGTGGCATGCTCCCTCTCCTCTTCGGATGCTTTGAGGAAGTACTTCTTGATATTCTTGAAGGCAACGTCATCGCGGTCGAAATAGAACGCCTGCCAATTGAAGATCACTCTCATTCCTATGCATTCTAAACATGTATTCGGTGACCACTCGACTTGGTCGAGCATCGACTCGCGCTGGCTCGGTGGATTGGGTGGAATCCACATGACGAATCTATCGTCGTTCGGAGAATCCGGAAAAGGCCAACGAAACGCTTCAATTTGAGAGAATTCCTCCGTTTCCTCGGTCGGCTCAGTCACGCTCGATGCATTGGGAAACTTCCGACGCGAGCGGTAAGTGCGTGATTCTTTCGACAGATTTCTACGAACACCACAAGATCGCTGCCAGCGATCTAGAGGTCAACGGGAAATGACTCCTAGAACCTTGAGCGACTTCGCTCCGAGATAGGACGAAGGAGTGATTCTAATGGATCTTACCATCGACAGGTAAACGTAGGATGCGTACAGCTCCATGTTGATCTGATTGTTGATAGCCGCCTCACAATCGGCGTGGAAGTTTTGCCTGGGTCGAGTCATGATCGCGAAGCTCTCGGTCTTGGTTTCAGAGAAACTTTGACGATTTTCGGAAGATCTCGTTGATTCGGCGTAGAATGTCCAAGCTGCAAAGAAGAGCACCGTGAGACATCCTGCAAATTCGAATTCGGATGGACCCACCCTAGGACCCCGTTCCAGAGTCGGACGGTAGCCGGCGAAGCTCGGGAATCTATTCTCCGTAATGTCACGATCCAAATGGCTTCTCGATTCTGCATAGCAACAGCTGTACCCTTGATACAACAAAACCTTAACGTCGCCATTGCGATCTGCTACGCACATCCCGTCGCCAACATTGTGGGAATGAAGCTTACGTTAATTGGAAAATTTAGCTCTGCCAACATTCGTGTCTGGATCGCCGTTTCTGACGTTGATAGCACGAGTGGATCTGGCCTAAGGATTCCCTGGGGCCGGACGTCTGCAGCCAATCGTGAAATTTCATAAAGCTATTGAATCTGACGAATCGTGAATCATCGATTCGTTCTAGCGACAGAATACGGATAATCCGGAATAGCATCACGATGCCTATTAGAAGAACTTCTCTTCCCGCTCCGGGAGAAGGGGGAGCCGCGCACTCCGGAAAGTCTCGGCTGTTGTGGGAATGTTTCTTCTTGAGAACGATCGATCGAATCGGATTCGCCTGTCATCGACACAAGGGATTCGCAGACGTCTAACAATGACGGGATCGTTCTCTCGGATAAGGATCAGTTGCGGAAGTACTTGGCTGACTTGATAAGATACATCTGATACGATGGGGGCGACTAATGTGCTCCCACTGAATCTACTGGTCGAGACAGTTTCACGTAAAGCTGAAATTCATACTCACTAGCCCGTTCAAGCACTGTTGACCCAAGGCTAACACCGGACGGTTGAGTTTGTGTGTGCGGGAATCTGTCTTCAGACACCAGCTATATAGTCGGTGCGAGTCAACAACTCTTTCCCTCGTGTCGCCACTGAGAGGGAATCGGTGACCACAGAGAGGGCACTCTGCTTCAATTCGTAGCTAACCGCGCAGAAATCCACGGACAAGGCTAACAAATAGATACGGTAAATGTCAGATTTTTCTGCCAAGGTCGCCGAGGGACGCAAATATCTAAAGCCGGGAACGCGAACTTCACTCCCTATCACGAGGCATTGAGCTCAGCGAATACGGTCACCGGTCCGAGGAAAGCCCCGAGCTTGAGCGAAAACCTCGAGTTTATCATCAATCCCAGCTTCATGACCGGCGATTCACTCACCTCTTCCGAGTTCTCTGAAATTTCTGTGATCTCTGTCAAGCTGTCATGGGGCGGCGCAGTCAAAGCGCTAGGCCCCAAGAAGAGCGAAAGGGCGACAACCGCGCACTCTCTTGAATTCCTCCGGTGAGCTCAGACGATGCCGTTGTCTCCGCGAATCCGACGGAACTCCACCTTAATAAGTTTGGACTTCTTCTAAATTAGGCATCGTATTCCACGGCAAACGGAACTTCATCTGGTTGACAACCAGAAGAAGGCCAGACCAACACCGCTCGCTCGAAGCTTCCCCTTTTCACTGAGGAAGCGATGAACAAGTTTACCGTCCCCTGCTGTTCCCGAGTTTCAGGTTCATCCTTAATCTGGGTCTGACGTTGCGTGTTCAAGCAGCACGCAATTTCGTCCTCCGGGTCAGATGGAGTCCGCAGCATGACCACGAGCTCACACCGATGGGGAGCTCATGTCGTTCAAATGTCGCGGTGAAATTCCATGTTTTCACGAACGCCGATACGGCAGCTCCCGACCCCCATTTGATTTCTGCACGGAACGAAGAGATCGTTCGCGTCGTAGTGCGGACTTCCTCCGCCGATCCGCTCCGAGGTGGAATACCTATACCGGTCGGGACGGCGTCGGCTAGAGGCAGCTCAGGCTGAATGCACCGGCAGAATGGAGTGATTTCGACGCGGAAAAGCTCTCTACTACAATTTTCAAACCTAACGAATGGCACACCAATCCGCTTCAGGAGGGAGGGAGTTCGTACCTTGTGTTTCGCTGGTATGTTTGTTTTCTGTTGGAATCTTTCGTTTGGGCACGTTGATTGTGTGAGACACCTCGGAACAATGGACGCTGATGTCGCACACATCCCTCGACGATCGGCTGCCGAATCGGGGAGGCCGAGTCTGCACGTCGTTGCCCTCACCCGATAATAATGGTGCACAGAATTAAAGGAGTCGCACATGGAATATTGCGTCGCGAACAGTCGCTCGGTTGGGTATTTACTTCTCGATAGCCATGTGGATTTCACCTCTGAATCGTGAGCCCCGTTTCTCTATTCTGTCAAGAATTCCTCGGATTCGGGTGAAGGATCGCCCACTCTCGAAGCTCATCATCCGATGGCCTCCGAGTAGGATTGATTCGGACTGACGTGCCTTGGGCGCGATAGTACCGGGACTCGACCAATCTTACGGAATAGCGCGGGCTCGAAGCTTGATGTGCTCGTCCATATTTCGCTGCGGGGGACATTCACGGATCGATGACGAATACTTGAAGAATGTGTGCTCGCCACTGGAGCACGCGAACAGATTCTGCGTCGTAGAAGCTATCCGACGCGTCGGTCTTCAAAAGCGGAATGGTCGGGGCGAATGTCGGCTCTGGAAGATCGATGTAATCGGGAAGCTTCCAGTTCGACCTCCTCTCTCATTCTACAGAGGAACAGGAAGTCTTGAATTCTACGGATATCGGACCCCGTTACCCAAGTAGCATATTTCAATGAAGTCTCGCCCCGGAACAAGAATCATCCAATTTCCTCTGTCTCGGGTGGAGACGATCCGCCTGGGCGTGCCAATCTCCTCTCGGATAGGAAGCTGTGGAAATGTTTCACCGCAGTTCTGTGCGTCGAAAAGCGGCGAACCACATGTATTAACTCCCATCTATGATCCTTCGATATCTTCGAGATTCGCGCATATTCGCAAGCCATCGTCGGGAGGCGCTTCCGAACGATGAAAAGAATGACTTTGACAATCCGAGCCGGTCTCAGTCAGCGCGTCCGGTCTCAATTTTCCAAGATACCCACTGATCAAAATCTAAACTATGCTGTCGCAAATCCCCGTGCCAGACAGCTCTCACTGATAGTGATGAATGAGCGAAAGCTCTCAGTTTCAATAGTCATTGTAGTCACTTTATCTAGATGTAGGGCTTCCTTGACCACAATGGTGCGGGGAAGCAGGGAGAAATATGGTCTCAGCCGCCGCTTCCCCGGAAAACTTTCCGCTCTACGGGATCTACGATATCCTCCCAAAAAGCGGGAACAGTATGAGTCTAGCTCCAGACCTCTGAATCGAATCCAGAGAACGGACCGAGAGCGATCGAATACCCAAGGGGACTTCCTGATACCGATGTTCCCTTGTGTTGGAGGTGTCTGACCTTCCATATCAGGAATCTGGAAGGTTCCCATGACTCTCCATGTGTACACGACAATGATAGCGGGCGAGTGTCGCGATGATGCATTCTCTCCGTGGAATGGTTCCAGGAGAAACAAACCCGATTACTCAGCTACAAGAAATTATGACTCTCGAAGCGAAAATTGCTCGGCTCTGACGGAGCGATGAATATGAGCGGGTACCTTACATCGTAGCCATAGCTCGATGAGGCTACATCGATTCCCGGCGTACAAGACTGTCCTCGGATAGAACCATTCTGTTTCGTGGGCCTTCGACTCCTCTAACCTCATAGTAGGAAACACACCCCGGATTCGCCTCAATGTAGAAAACCTCGCGATCGATTTCGGCCCTCCCTATAGCGATCAGAATCCTCATGATCAGAGATTGAGAGATTGGGGGCTACATTCGGAAGAGAATTACGTATTGTATCCGGGAAAAATTCCATGCATGTTCCCGCTCCTCTCAACCGGGACGAGCGAAGGTCACGATGAAGAAAATGAATTCCATTGAGTGAACAGTGTCTGGGGTCAAGTGGGTAAAATTGCTAATGAGGTTTTTAGCAGCCATCGGGCGAGCGGAGCGACTGTCGCTGGTTGGAGCTTGCAGTTCTCGCTCCGACGGCTAAGGGTCTCTCTGTCGTCAGCCTGAACGTCTATCTGTCCGAGCTGTCGAAATTTTTTCCGTGGAAGGCTTCGTCCAAAGAAGATGATGATACGTAGAGAATGTGGCTTGGCTTGTTGTGAAGCCATTGTCGCAGAAGGCAGCGACCGCATTGTTGTTTCGAGTGAGGCGAATCTTTAACGTCGCGCGTTGGCCGCTTTGAATTTCCTCATAAGCCAACGCCTAAAGCCAGACGGTCGAGTGATGGCCAAGCATCGTGGTCGGTCGCTCGCTTTTCATGCGCCCGGGGAGTTTTTCTCCGCAGAATTCCTCAACGGGAAATATTCCCCGGCGCGGGATTGGTAGGGCTGAACGGATTCATGTGTCACCCAAAGGATGTCGGTCGCCTCCCGTGATCATTATCGAGATAAGAAAGTCGTGACGATTCTAGACGACATTAAAGCTCTCGAAGGAAGATTCTGGACGGTGAAAATTCTCGCGTAACGTGTTGTTGTCGAATTCGCTCTCGGCGCGCCTGAACTTGAGCGAGCGGAAAGTTTCTACTAGAGGCTCAACATTATCAAGAATGACACATCGAGTTTGAATGGTTCCAGTATAAGCCCGGAGGAGCCTCGCTCTTTTATTCTTCGCTTACTCAGTCAATTCTCCATCATGTAGTCCAGTGGCTCTCCGGGACGAAGCATTTTTCTTTGGACGTTTGCTTCAAGGAAAAGCTCGCGGTCGAATCCTACCGTATCCCCGTCAAAACGCGGGCGGACTTTGTACAAATGAGAGCTTAAATTCACCGAAAGCGGTCTCGCATTCCCCAGTTTGGTATCACAAGTCTATAGGGACACAACCTCCGTTATTTGCGGGATGAGAGTAACCCCGTCGAGGAATAGGCATCTTATCAAGCATCTTTCCATTCGAAACTTCAATCGATGCAAGAGCTGAAGATGGAGTTGAGGGAACTCAATATGAGAGTGCACCGTGGATCGATGAACGCTTGATTGAATACTCATAAAGAGATGAAGGAATCGGCGAGTGAAACTCGGGTCGGCGTGAGGCATCAGCCGCTCATTTTTACCGGGGCGTTTGGAACTTTATAGCGTTTTCTCTCCACTCATGATCGCAGGGATGACTTTCACTGACCCGGGAATGTTTCAACCTCTCTCTCTCCATTCCATTTCAGCTATTCTTATTACTTATTACATTCATTATTTATCGTAAGTATCATACAACTGCCGGGCATTCAATCCGTGAGTTTCTTAACGTAAACGTTCTCAGCTTCTAGTTTCCTATAGAGGGTCACATATCTGGCAACGGATTTCATTCTCGGGCAGATGACTTGGCTGCAAAACTGCGTTCGATTAAGATGCGACAACGTCGGTAGTTGAAGTGTTCGAACGAAGTCGAGAACGAAAGTGAAACAGTTGTGATCGTCGTCATCGTAGCATTCTCGGGACCTGCGAGGGCATAATTCGATTAGAAATCGGTGGGCTCGAGGTAATTGGCAAGCCGACTGAAGCACCTCGTTTACAGGAGAAAAGAATGGGCGAACATCTCCAGGTGAAAAGCTCGGGTCCACTTACCACCACTGTCTGTTTTTCGTGACTTCGAGCGTATAGTCCCAGAAATTCGAGTCCACCGTCGGATCGCACGAATCCGAAGACAAGAAGAGCTGGGGATTGGACAACTGCATTAAGTTTGGGACAGAAAGGGGTGATTGGTACGACGGAAGCGAGAGGAAATCGGAATGGAGTTCTCACCGGTATGGTGACACATTGTCTCCAGTCACCAGAGCCTACGGTCAGCCCGCGTCTGTCGTATTCGTGGACTACGCCTCTCGAATCTGTCAGACCAGCGTGAAGATCCAATGAGGTGGTCAAGCACGACAAGAAGGAGCCTTTCGAGGGTTTTATCACTACGCTACACGGCGAAGACACGGCGAAAGCGAACGGCGACGGGATCACAGATGGTTGAAGCTGAAAAGAATTCGCGCAAAGGCGTTAGTGAACGCCTGCCATTCGTAATGCTCCGGAGAATTGTCTGAGTGCTGAAAAGCTGTTTTGTTGATTTTACGGGCCATCGCGGACCTTCGTCAATCGTATGATGATTCAAAAAAAAGATTCACTCACCAGCAGCTTGTTGCTTGTATCCACGGCTTTATTGCATATGGGACACGAAAGCGGCAGGGCTAAACACAGAATATGTGCCTTCCTCGAGCAGTGCTGGAAGCACAGAATCGGACGTGCCGCCACCGTCGTAGACTCTGTTTCCAGCGTCATGGCTGTAGTGAGGAATCCTTGGTAACTTCTGGACTGCTCCAGGAGATACGCCCCACGTGAGTCGGAACCGAATCTGAAGGAGGACGGAGGAAAAGGCTCTAGTCATTCCACGTGGGAGGTAAAGAAGGCGAGGAAAATGATGAATCGATTTCCGCCCATCTCTCAGGCTCGAAGGCAAATTATACGGTGGACGGATACCCTAAAAATGATTACAGAATAATCCAAGGTCCTCAGAGGGCTCCATGGAGGGCATCTGTTGCTATTTTTGCACTCCAGTTCCATGCGATTTGTGTTGAAAAGCTCAGTCTATCAGCGATCCTGAACGATATTCCGGGTCGAGGAAGCCACGCTCGTCGAGTTTTACAAACATATATCGCAGTTCCGGGAAATACACACATATCCCGCACGAGGTACCCTTGCGCGCTTCCCTCAACGGAGCAGACCTATTCAAGTCACTGGGGAGAACTTCCACGAGGAGGAACCATGCGAAGTATAGCTCCCGACGACGGAAAATAAAACATCTGGTCAACAAGATTTGCATTTGCCTAACGATGGAATTATGCTTGGAAATTCTGGAGGTATTGGAAATCCACGGAACCGAGCGCCGCGGAGGAGAATCTCATCACAAGTTTGAGTGTTTTGTCTGACCAAGAAGCATTGACTTGTTTAGCCGCGCGTGGCGAATCGTAGAGCGAAGAAGTACTCGCTGTAGTCAATGTTCTCCGAAGAGAATGGATCGCATCGTGGAATGGGAGACGGATAAGCTTCGATCCTACATCCGGCGCTTGTCTCGTCGGAAATCCATTTCCAGGACAGTCACTGCATTTATCAATGGAAAACCGCAGAAGGAAATTACCTTCTGCGAGGATTTCCGGGCGAGGAATGTCATGTGCCGCGACCTATACAACTGTCCCTTCTTTGAGTGGACACTCGGTTGCTCGCTCGGTCGGTCGGTTGATCTATCCGAGTGAGCACAGTTTTGTAAGCGGGACAGTCAAAGCGCTCGGGGTCACGGCGCCGTCCACGAACGATGTGGCCCGGCCTATTGTTTTAGCACATCTCCATTCAGTACTTCGTTCTGCAATGTCCATCGGCGGTCCCGCTCCTCTAGCACAGTGAACACGGCTCAGTTGAGTCGCTCGCTAGCGTGCAGCAACCGTTGCGCGTTTGGAACTCTCTCCCTGTCATCAGAAGTCGCCGAAGCTCGCTTCTGTATTCTTTTGCCGCATTCGAACCTTATCGAAGGCGAAACCGTCCCATTCATTCCGAGTGTCCAGCCAAGAATAATTCCAGAGACCAGACGACTCTGCTGTAGCTTAAAGCAGGCTCTTCCAGAGGCGGCTGTTTCTCAGGAATTACTCCATTACCGCTGACCCGTACCATAATCGGGGTCCAGGTCGAACTCGAAAACGGACAGCAGCATGAAATATCTATCTATCTATCGACAGGCATTTCACAAACTTCGAATCATAACCCGCCCCATGCAGCCTACAACACCCAACACTCGGAGCGTACGGCACAATAGAAGCTCCGTCTCTCCGTGATCCCTGTTCCCTCCCAATCGCTTGGAAGCTTCATTTGGTCGAGCGGGAAGAGATCCTTCCTACCATCATCATCATTATTGTGAATAAATGGAATATGATCCCACGCTGACAGCTGGACGTTGCGCTGAGTCACTGCAGCGCTGTCATGCCTCCCACCATAGGCGACACCGCCATCCTTCTCTGGTGGCACGGTTCGCGATTCGAGCCAAGAACAAAGGGTCGCCCTCTCAATTGGTGCTGAGCCGGGTTTCGACTCGTTTCTGCTCCGCTCATCCCGCGAGCAGGCAGAAGTTTCAGTCGACTTTTCGGCAAAGTCGGACAGCGTTTCAAAACACTGCTCATCCGGCAGAAGGAAACATTCTTAGCCGATTCTTACGGTTTTCGTCTTCTACGCTCCGAACGTCTGCTCGAGTTTCTCTCTAGGATCGTCGAGGTCGGAGTCACAGATGGGCGCGAGTTGCAAGTTGGGGCTCAATATGCAATGAAAACCGTTTCTAACCCAGCCGTTCCATGGAGCGGGAGTCCCAGAGCACCTGCAGTGATATGTGGAGATAGATCAAATACATCCAGCTGTAACGGCGATGTTCAGCCCGATCAGAACTTGGGAGTCAGACACCGACTGATCATCTCTCGACATGGGATCCGATGATCGGCGAATCGTTCATCAACTGAGAATCGTCAATTGCGTTTACCCCTCCGAGTATTTTCGATCTTTCCGATCGATAGCGTCCGTATCAGACGACAATGCCCGCGACGGACACCATTCAACTAGAAGAAATGAAATAAATTGAACTCGCTCGAAGGAACTAACTCGCTTAACCGAGAAGCGGAGATTACCAGTTCCCTGGAACCGAAGAATATGACAGAGAAAAATACTCTCATGACCGCGAATCGACCTGGAAAACTCGATCAACCACATTCGGTGGAACCGATCTGGGGAAGCAATCTGTCCCAATTCGACCGTCATTGGAACCCTAGAACTCACAAAAAATGCCGCCACGAGAAGTATTCATTTTCAGTCGTCTTTTTCCGGAAGACTTTCTAGAATCTCCGATTGCCGTTCTCGTGATCGCGGAGGAGACTCCCGCTGATAGCTCGTATATGATTCGACAAAACAATGACCATCCGTGGATTTCGAAAGCTCACCTCAGAAGCCGCGCTCTTCCCGGCCGCGACAACAACAACATCTCTCGAGCAAGCTAATGTGACGGTCAATTACGATGGTGATTATGGTGGTGAAATACCGCGCACTATTGCGCGCAATGTTCCCTCTACACGCGGTGCGGACGTAACAAATGGATCATGCAAATCGCGCTTTTTTCCTGGCCGCGTCGCCTTTTGGTTTTTGACAAAAATACTAACTTTTTGCTTTCAAAATATTCCCGACCCCAGCATTCTCTAGATTTCAAAATGCTTCACCACGATAGGGCGATGTCGAATTCAAATCCATGATTCTTAGGTACCTTGAAATCCTCCAGGCTTATGGGAATTATATTTAACGAGGTATAGCAGCGGAACATGGATGAATGATACAGAAAGTTCCATGTTCCCTGAAGCATTCCTTCCCGCTGCAATCTCTCGGCAGATTGCGGTGACTCGCTCTACTAATTGAATTGCTCCAGAATGCCAAGATGAAACGGGAAGAAACAGACTCATCGGGAGGGTACAGAGGGGAATCTCGCAGCAAAATGGACGGAAATACTTTTTCTCTCGTGGAGTGATCCGACATCAGTTCTCTGCGAAATCTCTTCAAGACGGGAAGAGAGTCAGTTTTGGGGAGTAGCATCCGACCCTCGAGAGGAGAGTCGGTGAGCTGAAAGTCTGCGGACCGGACTCCGGAGCTCAGAAAAGTTCCGAGCTTTGTCATGGAGCAAGAGTCTTAGGTGTATTCGGGGAGCCGCCACAGCCGTCTGAACCCACCGGATGAACTCTCATGAATCACGTCAGTCAGGTGCTTTCAGTTCAGGTCTGATTGGCTGAGTTCACTGGTGAGTGGAAGACGGACGGAGGCGTGTATTTAACGGAGGAAAGTAGCGGCAAGCCAGAAAAAAACTGTTCATCGAAAGTCAGTGGCTTGAAACTCTTCAGACAACGCGGGATAGAGGTTCCGTTGGTCAGATGAAACGGATCGCTAATTTTGCGACTCGTCAGGCACAAAAAACTGGCCGACTATGTGGCCAGGGCTGTAAACAGTGCTACGAGATAAAGTTCGGCCTTTTTTTATTTTTCTCGTGATATCTTCGGCCTCTCTGACATTTCATGCTCCAAGGCACGTAGACATGGTTGGTTCCAATTATGCGCTGGATCTTCCATCGGAGGTTCATCCTCGAATGCACTGACAATAATCAACGCGAGGGGGAAGAACAAAGCGTCTAGTAAGGATGACAAGAACAAGGTGAGTGCACTCCGATCCGAGCAACGGAGATCTCCAGAAGTCTTCTCCATCCTTGATCAAGGAAAGTCCATTGATCACTGAGCAATGTAGGATTGCTCTGTCCGAGATTTTATCGAGAGTCATCGGTGGTTTTGACTAACTCCTCACGATGTTTCTCCTAGTTTTGAGTCACGCAAGGACACTGCATCAGTCGCGAGGAGCATAAATGAGCTCGGATGCCAAAGAACCTCCACATACTGCAGCCCCGGGCTCCCCATGGAAAGGGACATCGATACGATCATCTGGCCGTGGATGTATTCATGTCAAGAAGGATCTATCGAGGGAAGCGGCTTCCCATGATCGGTCCCTCTTCAATTTCGGGGGAGTAATTTAGTAAAACGACCGAATGCCTTGCCTTGCCGAAGAAGTAATTCGCTGCTCGATGGCAGATGACCGAAGTCGGAAAAGAAGCTCAGTACCTCAGCGAGAACTCACCGACGATCCGATTCAAGACATGGCATACAAAGAATGCACCACTCTGGAGTGGAAGCCGGAACTTTCTTCACTTCATGCAAGACATTCTTATTCACAACTGTTCGCCGAAAAAATAACTCTTACTGAATGACGAAGAGGAGAGGGACGCAGGAGAGGGGGATATCACCGCGGATTTCGAAACTTCAGTCATCTCGCCGACGCGGACAGTCAGTATTGTCACTGTAATCATATATTTTATAATTCTCCACTCTATTGAGTCTGGCTTCCAATAGAATCAGCAGTCCGGGACGAAAGAAAAGACGGAGCCAGGATTCTAAGAGGTGACCGATAATCAAGTTGGGGCGACCCTCCGCCATGAGAGAGCTTAGAAAGATGGACTCGAGTCGCCTAAAAAAGCATCAAACGACTGAGCTCAATGTTCGAGAGAGATCTCTGAGCTCCCAGAAAGATAGAATCGCGAGCTGGAGACTTTTGGTCCTCTGGCGGTGGGCGTGAGTTATTCTTGCGCAGTTCGGATCAGATACCTACTCAGGAATCGTGACTAAAATACCTCAAGCTTTTATGCGAAGAGTTGCGTTATATTGAAAGCGTTCCGTACGGCGCCAGCCTCCTTCGAAAAATTGAGACTCATGGGACCTGATTTCGATCTGACCGTCCCGGAAAGCAGCTCGGAGCTGAGCCGGGTCCTCGCGCTACATACGTTCAGGCGATATTCTCGCTATCATGTCGGGCACGAGTCCGATGGGACGGGTGCTCTTCGAAGCAGTGAGAGCCTTGCGAGACGGAATTGTCGTAGGTGCCTATATCGATACCTCTGAATAGGCATACGGAAGGCCAAACATCTCTAGAATGAGCATTATGAGCCTTGTCTCATCAGGTCCACCTGTCTGATAAATCGTCGCGTCAGAGAAATCCGAGCTAATATGCAAATACCGAAAAGACGTGACGCCGAATTCGACTTCCTGACTTTGATCGACTTCGGAGGTGCTCGACCGCTCGATGTGTCATGTGTGAGTCCCAATGGCATAATGGAAGTCCTGATCTTGTCCAGAGACGAGGACGAGCCTTAAAGCCAACCTGAGAAGGTGAGAGACGTCCCATATGTTCATGAGATGAGCCACAATCCTTCATGATCCAGTGGGTTTGTTCCATCCCAAGAAATGAGTGCGGCGGTAATAAATCTGAAGCATGTCCCGGGTCGGCACTCTCACCCCAGCGGGCGAGCCGTCCGAATTGCATTCAGCACGAAGGAGAATTCCTTCGAAAACGTTTGCCTTCTCATGTCCACGCGGATACCGCGGAGTCCCCTGTGTGGTAACCCATTCACCGGACATTGAAAGGAGAACCCGTTTCTGACGCAAGGGGCTTTCGAGAACTGGTTCCTGTTCAGCTTGAAGTTCACCATGATTCGCGGCAATTCGAGGGCTGCTTAGTCTGAGACCTGGTGGCTCGCCGATCCATCAATGAGTCTCGTGACCTGAGAGGGCCCTTATCCCGGTTGAATGGAGAAAATGAAAGTTTACGTTCCCGAACGTGATAGTCGGATAAATCCGCTAGTTGTCTCGCCTCCTAGCTCGAGGGGGATGAGGAGTCCCTGATAGACAAGTTCCCGATAGGGGTAGGAAAGAGAGCACGGAAGTTTCGAACGAGCCTCGGACGCGGGATCTGAGCGATCCATCTAACCACCACGAACACAGACTTCCGGATACTTCAACACATGACGACTTCAAAGATCCTCGTAAACTGATTCGCAAGATCTCGCCATCTGAGGTTAACTAGAATGACGTGTCATCCCTCCACGCGTATCCTCCCCGAATCTCGGGAAATGGTCGAACCCGTATCGGGGCGGCACGCTCGAGACGATGCTTCTCGCGCAGACTCTTGGATGAAGGCCCCCGGGACCGATCGTGAAAGTCTCCAAGCGACGAGATTCGCAGCGATGGACCTTCAACACGAGTGCTCCATCTCGCACCTGAAAGTTCCGTAAAAATGAGAAGTTGTATGAGTACCGTCAAAGAGCGAAATGTGGAGCATATCTCATCGAGAGTCAGGAATAAGCTAGTATAACCAGAGGATACTCGACAGAGCTGGAGAGCTTTCAACTACCTGGGAATCGTCAAGTTTCGACGAATTGACATCGTATACAAAGTCAGGCTCCAAATTTCCTCATATGTGTAACTCTCCGATAACTCCGCATCCGTCCATTGACGTCCACGGGACACTCTCCCGCTCACACGCGAACATCTCCGGCCGAGTCATGAGTGGATGGCGAGCGATCTCAGTCAGCCGCTTTGAGATGACGGATTCCCCAATTGTGACAAATGAATTCGTGTGGCTTCTAACGAAATCCGAGCTGAGCATCCCAGACGCGTTGTAGGAAAGAAAGTTTTTTTGAGTAAGTATTCAGGCTGGCGGCTCTCTTCCCCGACCTCAGAGCTCAATCATCGTGCATCTTGAGCTTGATACAAAGCAAACCTACAGGTGCTGGCCCCCGAAAGAATGTTCTCACAGACGTCAAGCATGTGAGAGAGGCGCCTGTTCTATCAGCTCGCAAGTAATCACAGGATATCGAAGCTCTCGTCGACCGTTGCTGAGCAAAGCTGCAATTTTCGGGACGCTACATGTAAGCCCTTACGTCGCGGAACTCTAGGCTCTCATGGATGGAGCTCCAAAGATTTCTGCTTTTTCTGACTCCCACGAAGGTGGAAGAAATTTTCTCACAGCAGAGAGTCTCCGGACGGATAGAAATACCGACTCGTAATTGACGAGGAATGACGCTCTCGGAGGAGACCAGATTGAATCATGAGCCGACGAGGGGAGAGTAGGCTCATTGACACGCGTTCCGTATTAGTAGCAGCAGCAGCAGCGCGAGGAGCCAAGGCAGTGGAAGACACGTGCCGAAGCGGCCAGGAGGTAAGCTTCCGGATTAGCGAAGTCATTCGCTGTGATGGCTTCATTTGAGAATATCAAAACTGGGGGAATGACCAGCTTGAGACCAACGGACTTTTTAAACGAGTGACAATCTGCCGACACGGCTGGATCCCGAAAAAGGAAGGTATACCTGGAGCTCCGCATCCATTTCGGTACCCACAACATTTGTGTAGCCACAATACCTGCGCCGCAGGACCGAGGCATCCGAGTGGAACGTAAGCTTTCACTCCATTCTGATACTCAGACGCATCCTATTGTTGCTTACAATGGACACAACTCCGGAGCCCAGCAGTAAATGGAGACTTAATTCTTCTCTGAGTGCAGTACCGGTCCATTGGATTCCTGCCGGAGGTCGAAAGATCCTCTCGGGATGCAAACAAACCCATTCGCATGCTCGAAGGTCGCACGACAGTCGTCTTTCGTGCCTCGAATCACACCAGAAAGCCAGGATGCAGCCCAAACAGAGATACGTCTCGATCACGAAGCTCATCCAAGGCCACTGACCGGCTCGGCGATCAGAACTTTCGGGCTGAAAAGTTCTCGGTTCCGCGAAGGGAAGTTTCGATTTCCGACCATGAAGAATTTGACGTTCTGACGAATAAAGGGTTCCATAGTCAGATGAGCACAGTCGACCTCCGATCCTCATTCTCGAAGCGTATTCGTAGATTCTGATTCAGAGACTCCGGTCGTGGAGTCGAGTGTCATCCGGCGGGGTTTTCCGTCACTGCAGGTATCCCACTCTTGCGATAGAATGATTCGCATGATGATGCTATCGGTGTACATTGTGTCTCCGGCACCTTTTCGGAGCTCTATCGGACCCTGGCATCGGCTACCGTCGAACGCGCTCCGGAGTCGAATCGACCGGATGTTGAGAGTCCAGCGCCATCCGCGGAGACGCGGATCCGATCCGGCGAGTTTGTCTCTTCGCTCACCTGAGGGTTCATCGAAAGTTCCGTTGTCGTCCTCCAAGAGTCGCTCCTGTTCCCCTTGGAACGGGAACGACTCCCCGGCCTGGGAACTTGGAATATTCAGTGTGCCTCTCGACCGCCGTTTCCGGTCGTCGTCAACGCCGATCCCCGTAGAGCAAAGGCGTGAGGCAGCAATTGTATCGAAAGTCTAATCAGATATCGTCGTCATTGTGCTTTGTCGTATACGGAACAACGAGCGCCGGACAGTGACTCGAATCTCGGAAAACAGCGTCGAGTTAAACGATACTTTCACGCGTCAATGATCAGCAGCGGAGAACTATGTGGCGTATGCGGTAGCAGAATGCGCTCATAATCAGTTGAATGCACTCCGCTCGTCTCAGTCGACAGGAGTAGAGATCCCTGCTCACCCTTCGGACAGATCGCTCGTGACAGAAATCGATGTGCTCTGTCCGATGGTCTTTCGGGTTTACGAAAAGGAATGAAATTATTATCAAGAGCTGCGATCCATGATATGAGTCCTCGGAAGAGCTTTTCCACCGACACTGGAGCCCAAGATCTGAGTGAGAGAGACAAGTATTGACGGGGGATAGCTTTTCGTGAGGTCGTGCCGGGAGGAGATTTTTTTTCGATTTCTCGACTCCTCGCATTTCTTGAAATCTTTGTCGTCGTTCATAATTCGAGCGAGTCGCTAAAGCACTTTCGCTCACTCGGATTCGTGGGGCGCGTCGGGCCTCCGATTTCCATATCAAGAAACTGATTGAGATTCGTGCGCTTCTGCCTTCTGAACCTCTCACAACGATACTATCTATGCACAGCGAAGGCCAGAGCTGCAAAGAAAGCATCATCTCAAGTTTCGGCGGACGAGTAGTGCACTTGCAACCTGACGAAAAGGACTACGCTCTGGCCTTTCAACATCGAAGCTAAAAGAGCAGCATATTCACACGAATCTCGGATTCGCCTCGAGATCCGCGGATCTCTGAAAGTTTCGACTTCGAGATCGTAAAGTCCACTCGACAGTCGGTCCGCGCTATCAATGGCGCACTGCTCTTACCCTTGCGACAGGCAGGAGTCAAGAGCCCTTCTGAAAGAGTACCGAAGTTCAACTATATCTCCGAAATCAGCTATCACTGCTAGAATTGTTTGGTCGGGGTTCGGGGTGGTCCATGGTGAAGACTCACTCCTTCATCGATTCGAACATCAACAATGCGACCACCAGGTGAGTTCAAATCTGTGCAGTTACACATTATGGAGCTCTGTTCATTCTGAAGCGCGCACTGGACTTCTGCATGTGCCTGGCAAGCCGTTCAATAATGCCCGCTCACGAGGCAACAAATTGAAGAGAGAGCACCTGCCCGGGCCCGACTCCCCGCTAGTTCCAACCATTCGGAGTCTGCATAAAATCGGGAAAGCAAGCTCTCCTTGGCCAGCTCTGATCCAGGATGGGAGATTTCATCTTTCGGTGAGTAGGAAAACTAATTCATGGAGGTTTTGAAATATGAAATTAATCGCAGCCGATATCCGTGAGATCCCTGTCCGGATGCACGGTTTGGCAGTTGCAGAGCGTCAGTGCTCCGAGACATGGCTGCTGACCGTCGATTTATCAGGATTATTTTCACGGAGACGATCTCAGCGAGCGAGTCCAGTCCAGACGACCTTCCCTGTCCATCGTGTTTCGTCACACGCGTCAATAAGCCGTCAGAGTAGGTTACACCGTCTTTCGCGAGCCGGTAAGGCAGACAGAGCCTGACTCCCTCCTCAAGATAGACTTCCCGATATATGTACCCACCTAGGTCTAGGAGAAAACCGCGCACAGGAAGTGGATGCGGTTCGAAGAGCCACTAAAGTGAAGAGAGAAGTTGATTTGGTCTGCCGAGTACGCCGTCAAGAAACTCGCAGGTTATCTGACAGAAAGTTGGCCGATGACAGCGAGTGTCGAAAACCTTAATTTAGGAAGTGAGCGACAAAGCCATTGTTCGCTCTCTGTCTGATGGACTTCTTACTCCTTTGCTTGCATCCCGGTCCGCTGCTGACTGACTGGCTGGCCGACCGACTCGGCCACCCAAGAAATGCTCCCGCCTCCAACAAGAACGCACGACAAAGGTGCATCAGAGCGGCATCTTGGCTTGAAAGAATTAGTGACGGACTTGTTGCGAACACTTGCAGAATAACTTCGGCGGCGGCGCTGTCTCCTGGTTTTGGTTACGCTCCGGTTCTAAGTCGTCGCTAGCATGCAAAGCGGAACCAAACGTGGACTGAGCGAGCGCGGAGCTGACGCCGAAATTCCCAGCGTCTTCCTTCGGACTAGATTCTTTTCGAGGTTAGCCTCCGCCTAAGACTTTTGCCAAGATAATCGCTGAGCCTCCGCGAACTATTCCCCTTCAGGCAGCTTCGCCTCGACTGGTCCATGGAGTTCAACATTAAAATCATGTCGGGCTCTTCGTTCATCGATCCTCGCCCGACGGGCGGACGGACGGACCTCGATCTTCCTGCGACAGAAACGAAGAAATCTTCAATTATATCACGGGCTCGGAGCCAGAGTCGTCGGTCGGTGCCATACGTTCGCATGATATTTCTTTTCGTTGTATTATGCACATATTCCCGGGGCAGATCTCGAGCAGCGGTCCGATTATTTCATTCCTCATCGATTTAAGGAGCGAGTGCTAGTACGGGAAGAAATTTTCCTTTCGTGTTCGGTGCACCATTGATCAATGAAGCGAATGTTCTCACTCGAAGACGAATGAGCGCAAAAGAGCAACAATGACTCCGCGGTGGTCCGAGTCCGAAGATCACTCCCATACTCGGAGGTTCACATTTGGAGCTTCCAGTGGTATCGGTCGGATCCGCGAAACAAACTTCAAGATTAGGACCGCCAGCAATGGCGCCATCCGAATTTGCATTACATTCTGAGCTCGCCGTGAACAAGGTAAATACGAATACCCGAACGTGGGCGACGTCGTGTAACTTCGACGGAGTGGAGAGTTAGTCATGTAAAGGATAGTGCCCAGACCGGACGGACTTCTTGAACATCCTCGCCTCGTGGGTCACATATGCTTATTAGCCGGAGCTTCGTTTGGTTGTGCAATCGTTACCGGACACAATGCGGAGAAAGGTCGGAGGTGTTCAAAAGCCTTGTTCGACAAGGAGCCAGAAGATTTTCTTGACTTACATTCGTCGCGGTGTCATCTCTCGAGGCCAGTCGTTTGATGTTTGCGCCTCCAAAGGGACCTTATTGTCCACCGGAGAATTTCACACATGTAACATGTAGCACTGCCACAGTGGAGACTTATACACACATACACACTGCTCACGCCTGGTTTTTTCATTCAAATTCGACCAACTATCACCGCGTTCGCGAAAGTGTGCAGCATCTTTCTATTGGGCGAAGCCTGGAACCAATCGCCCCGAAGACGGTTTTCCGGGAATCGTCTCTGGAAACAACAGCATTGGACGCAAGTGGAGCTCCCCATGGAAGAGCAGATCTCCGAGAATTTCACTCGATCATCGAGCGTCGCCTCGTGTAAATCGCGAATCGTAACCGCGCAGAATAAGAAACCCGCCGCACCCCGTCCGAACGAATTCGTGTCCGCTCGAGCAAGTCAAGTGTGAAGCGGAACTCAAAGATTTGTGCAAATCGCAAACGAATCCAGCAACCCGACAGACGTATAAAACTGTATTGTGGAACGTCATGTAGAATTTACATTACACTGTGCTGACACGCTTGACATGCTCCTGCGCTTCCATCAAATCTTGCTCGAAACCTGGACCCTTCTCCATTCGATCATCGAGAAGCTCAAGCTCGAGAGAAACTTGTTATCTTGTGACGAGACATGGATACGAGCGGATAGCGAGCGAATCCTGAAATATTTGTTTATTTTCGAATAGATCGGAACGGGATCAGTAACAAGGTGAATCTCACGAGGGCACTCCGAGACCCGGTATCGGCTCTCCTACTTCTTCTTGCAAACTGTCGCTGTTGGTCTGCTTCGTCGGAGAACGATTCCGACCTCGTCCTCTCCTACGAATATCTTCTATCGAGGTGTTGTCGTCGTTTCTGGCCATGTTTCCATACCTCAAGCGCAATCAAAGTATTTTCTCTCGTCAACGAGATCCGATTTCGAACGAACCACATGATGTTCGAGCGTTATGATTGTTCGTTTTTCCCGTTCCGCTTCTTACGGGGAAAACTCTCAGAAATCGGTAATTGCTGGCAGCCCCGAAAACTTCGCAGCGGGAACTCGAAGCAGAATGCCGGGATGTACGCCTGCCCATACCATCTCCGAAGGTCTGTAGACCCTTCCGGAAGTCCGATTGCGGCGCAATCGGAGTTCCGCAATCATTGCGCTCAACCTCGCCGGATCGGAGGGACGCCCAATACTTCCCTCGTCTCAAGGGTCAAAGCCCCCGGCTCCCTGGTTCTTGGGGAATTGCAGAATGAGGAGCGATGAACAGCTCCGAAATGACCAGAGTATCTGGTTTTGGTGTACCGGCGAAGCCCCGGCAACTTTCGCGTGATGTCGCTCGAGGAGCGAACAATCGCGTCATCAGGGAGTAGCGATCAGATAACATCTCATGTTTACACTACTCGATCGAATGGAACGAGCGTCGATCTTATCTTGTATCTCGCTCATGTACTTGTTGTGGTTGCTCTTTTGTTGCAGGACGCGGGACTGCGTCGGGTGACTCCGACGAAAAAGCAAAAAGGGCTTTTCTCGTTTGTAAGTTCCTCTATCGACAGAGCAGTCTCCAGACGACGACGCCGACGACCGCATACATTGTATGCCGCTCGCACTCACTCACACGCTGTCGGTAGCATCCGTTCGACTTCCGAACTCCGCAGCGTGAGTCTGAGGCTTTCACTCGATCGGTCGCTTCTGGGAAAAGCACTTGACTCTCATGAGCACCCGTCTACCTTTGCACTGGTATGACGTGCTGTACATCGTTTCAGAGCCACGGCGAGAGAAACCCGCTCCTGCTCACCTTGAGGGCAGGCCCCCGATAAATTATTATCCTTAAGTTATTTAGACGGGGGAAATTCGAGTCTCTCAGGGGAATATGGAGTTGTTCCGCACATGACAGCTCTCGAAAGTAAAGGAAATTGAACGCGGATGGGCCCGCGGATGTTTCAAGTCGTGAGCGCTCTCGCGAAGTGATGTTAACAATAAGAATAATAGTAATGATATTGTATTATTGGGTTGATGTTATTTTTCCGGAAGCCTCCAGTCCATTATCAGTCAGCCTTCGGTCCAATGTATCCGAGTCGTTCTCATCCAAATGTCCCCTATCATTTTGGCAAAACGCAAAATCAAAAAAAAATCAAAAAGCAAATATCGGAAGTTCAATTTCTGCAATGGCGATTTGCTCGGCTTCATCGGACCGTTCCCAATGTTCTTGAGACTCAGCAGCGCTTCGCGGAGTGGACTAGATCTCCGTGCATTAAAAGTTATCGAGGCCGGGCTGTTTCGTCCTCTTCCTCTCCTCGTCGTCAGAAGATTGAAGCCTGTGAAGTATAGTCCGGAGGTCGGTTGAAATGTCGCCTGCTCTGTCGCTGGCTGTTGCACCATAAATCGGCGCACCGAGACTTGGTGCCCCTAGACCCCGGTCGCGTGCATTCTTCGAACGTACAATGCAATCCTCTCCCGAGCATGCGGGTCCTCTCCCCCAAAGGACTTAAAAGCTCATCTAGCCCATAGCCCAGGTCAGAATCCCCGCTGCATTTAGACGGACTGGATAGTTGACATTTCTCGACACGTCTCTACGTCGTATTAGGAAAACCGCTCGCATCACGATGTACGATTCGATGCCCGAATATTACGTGAGTTCCGACTCGTGCGGAGACGACTCGCTCCGACCGAAACGTAAAGCCGACGGTGAATTCGTGCAGAAAGTGAAGAAGTCTCGACGTGTTCGTGCCAATGACCGCGAGCGCAACCGGATGCACAACCTGAACGATGCACTCGACCGTCTGCGCACCGTCCTCCCATCGTCGACGGACGACAGCAAGCTCACCAAGATTGAAACTCTTCGTTTCGCTCACAACTACATCTACGCCTTGACGGAAACACTCAAGATGCTGGATGGGGAAGCCGAAAGTTTCAATCCTGTCCTAGCAGCCGTCGCCCTGCAGGGATCCCAAACCAAAACGTGCGATCCGACTCTGAAGCAGACAATCAGGAAAGAGATCACCATCACGCTCAACCTGCAGGATGCGCGGCTCTCCCCCGAGGAATTATCCACTGCATCCGGAAGTCTCCCCGCTAGTCCTCTGAGCTACCAGGACAGATCCTCCCCCGTCCAATTCTCTAATTTCCACCAAGGACTCGTCTCAACGTTACAGCAATAGCGCTACCCCTGCGTAACGAGCTCGTAATCGATGAACAACACGAGCGTGCAATATGCTGTTTGGTTGAAGCGGCGTCAACGAATACTTCTGTTGCTCGAATGTCCCATCACGTGGAATGTTATGGCTTTTGATACCATTCTATATGTAGATAACTGAGGCTCAATTGGCCGAATGATGGAGAATAAAAATTCTATTTATGACTTTTAAGAAACGCGGACGTTTTCTCTCTAGTGGAATAGCTTGCTGTAAAAGTCACTCAAGAAAGTCTCCGCTATATCACCGCACCCTTGCCCCCGCCACCTCCTGATATCATGATCGTAGGGAGCTCGAGTCATGAGATTGACTCCATGTTGAGACAGGGTGCTCATGATTCCATTTCGAGCAAGTATCTTTATCGCAGTCAAGTTGCGAAGCCGTACACGTACGTGTTGATGCAAACATGCCGATTGACCTTATTTCCCGACGGAGCCACGCGTATCCGTCGGATCGAATCGGGCAAGTTCCGAAGTCGACTAAGAACCTTCCCGCTGACGCATTATTAGCCGGGACTTGATGGGATGGGCCGAATGTGCCATCACGCATTGTATTTGCTAGCGAATCGGTCAAGGAGAGGGAGGAGATAGAAAAGAAAAACGAATTAATAATTCGTAAACTTCGAATGTGCCGAGCCGTTCTGCAGGGACGACGGCGCGCAATATTATCAGCCCGTCCGATGTCTTGACTCTCGGACGTGAGAATCCACGCTCTTGTACATTCGTGCTCATAGTTACATCTGACTGAATGCCCTCAGCCGAGAAAGCCACGACAGGTCATTGTAGGGCTCCGGACATCATGGAGACCTCAATCAATCAGCGGCTTCCGCGCACGATTTGCACACGGTCAGAGTCGCGGTGTTCGTTTCGCACTTTCAGACCCGCAGTCCACTCGACCGCTTAGGCTCTTGGCGTTAGCCAACGGAAGCGTTGTGGCTCCATCTCGACCTTGTGTTACACACGGGAGAAACAGGACGATCCATCTGACCGAACCAGACTCACCGGAGGAGGACGTATTGCTCGCTTGTCATCGACTGAGAGCCAAAACATCGCCTATCGTTGGTCGTTCCGGCACCTCGTGCCTCTATGATGAACACTCCAAATCTCGCTTCCCAGATTAGTCCGTGAGTTGAGGGGGCGTCGAGTCGTCGCTCGCCAGAGAAAGAATCCGCGCGCGATGATCAACCGGTCCATATAGGCTCCCGCTCTTCCTCCGCGCACATCAACTTCGTCTTTTGACTTAAGTTAATCTGGCTAAATGTTTTGCACGCTCCACGCCCAGCTGCGTCGGAGCATTTTGATTCTCACGAGGTCTCTCTCTCCAGCGCGACGACGTCCCAGGAAATCTCTCAAACCTCGAATCCACTAAGGAAACGGAGTCCAGATGCTGCCTCACATGATATTCGTCTTGATTCGATCATAATCATCGCGAACCACCGCAGATTAAGTATCAGCGTATTTCCTACCAGGGGAATCACCTGACGGCGGAGCTGTCTGCGGAGAACCTCAACGACATCCTTGAATACTGTGTGAACTCGATTCTACCGCCGTGATTTGTGTCGTAGAATGGTGATGAATAGAATCGAGAGTGTGTATATGGTGCAATTTCCACAGACCTCTACACCACCGCGAATATACTGAGATTGAGTTGATGTACCGGCTGCCTGGAGCACCATTCCCGCGCGACATTCGTCACTTCAACTCGGCCAAGAAGTCCAAAAATCAAATGCTTGAATTCTTATGAGTGGATGAATAAACAATTCAAGTTTAGTTATTTACCCAATAATATGGATGAGCCTGTGATATACTCGCACTTCTCAATGAGCCGAATTATGAACCTGGACCCGGGTTCAAGAAAGTTGAGGATGACCTAATCGAGCTCAATTCAATCGAGTTCATACATTATTCGATTGTTGCATATCTAGGCCGAGGTTCCCCTGGATACCATGCGTCAGAGCCTTGCAGGGACTCAGCTCGATGATGGACGTATGACCTCAGTCGACGCTCATGGAGAAATTTGGTGATTTAATAAATTAAATCGAGTACAACTCTCTCGGTGCAAGTTAACATTTGTGATTGGCTCTTGTTTACACATCGAGCGTCTCTCGGCTCTGTACACAGACCCTCGAACCACCTCGGTAAGACTTCGAAGCTCGTTTCAGTCAGACATACATAAGTGCCTGTTCGTGCGGCGGGGCCATGAACGTTTATTAGTATCATGGCTGGGACGCTCGGAGCAACTCCTTTCGGATTCCGACCTCCCGTGCGAAGTGTTGTCCCCAAAACATCAACACCTCTATATTGTGCTCGAACACCGTTCTGTGATGCAGTGAGCTAGTGAATTCGCTGACGCTAACTCCTCCCGTGGACGTTGACCGCAACAGACGAGCTGAGTACCGCTCTCGGAGAATCGGAATTGAGAAAAAAAGAATTCTCTCGAGTCGCGCAAACCTTCGGGATTCGCACAGAACTCAGGGGCGGCACCGGAGGTGTGAACTTCGGTACAAGACGACTACAACGCCTACTTCTGGCTGGCTATTCTTGTTGGTCTTTTCTCGTGTGCATTTTCTTCGGACACCTTCACGCGTAATCCCATTATACGCTTTATTTAGCTGAAAGAATCCTTAGCAAAGGAAAACATCCCGCCCTATAAGCTTTGTAGCCCGGACTAGCTATGTCCAGTGCATTATCGAGTTGTGCAGTTAGGTCGAGCCCACGGACGAACTCGGAGACGAACATGACGACAAGCTGCATGTGAGTAGATCGCATGAGAACAACAAAACAAACTCCGTGTTGTTGCTGTTACGGGAGTTCTTCAATTCTCAACCAACCGAGACCGCCTCCGTTTGATGAGCGCGCTCGCAAGGAGGCGCGATGAATGTGTCTTCGCAGTCGGCGAACACAACAAAGTATGCGCCTGTATCCAGCTCAAGAAAAGCCACCCCGTCCGTGGATATCCTCGTTTCGCCGGCGGTATACATGCCGATCGATGCCAACACACAGAACCATATCCCAGCCGTATAGAGCTCACGATACGATCTTTCCAGGTGAATCAGCCAAGCCTTTAGCCGCCCGTTCCCCAGAATAACAATCTCTGCGAGTAATTGGAAAGTGATTGCGGTTCAGAGCAACCCGCGACGATAGCGGGACTCCGAAGGAGATGAGAAAGATTCCGTTACGTTCCGTCGACGATTTCTGACGACCGCTCGAATTGGAGGAGTCGAAGCCGACTTCAGAGAATCGGAGGACGAGCCTCCGCACTCTGAGCGGGTTCTCTTGCTCCCATCGGCTCAGCGAAACGTCCCGGAAGTTCATCATTGGTGCTTTGACGATTACCATGGATCTGCTCCATGCGCGAATCGTCCAATCTCCTGAAAACCTCGGATAGGATACCAATCTCCAACGGTATAGCGACTGCATATCGAAATCGTGTTGAGCTCTCAAATACGAGCGCAACTCGAGGAAGGCTCTCAGAGAAGGCAATTCTCCGTTTACTCAATATCAGAAATTAATTCACGGCGTGTCCGGTGGGACACTCAATCATGGCATCTTGAGGGGTGCGAGTCTCTCCTGACTATTGCCACATTAAATACCGTTCCGATCGTCGAGCGTTTCCTAAACTTGAGGGAAAACAAAGGCGCTCCATTCATGAAGCATCCATAAGTAGATCGAGCCCGCGGGATCAAGTTCGTCGATAGATATCGGTCAAGTTTCGCACGGCTGGCACGGTGGTGAGGTGGCATCCCATGGTTGGGAGCTCTCCTTCTGGGAAGGAGAGCTCAATTTTCAATGGTCGAGTTCACTCATGGAACGTTTGGCGAAGATGTCTCCATTGAACGACTCCGATTGAGCGATCGATTTCTCATGTATTTCTCACGGGATCAGTGAAGCTTTAAAAGAAGATCGAGCTCGCCTGACGATAATGCCGATGAGAGACCGCGATGCGATCCGAAAAACAAACGCAATCCAGCACATGAATTCCGTGATCCAGCTGATTATATCACAGACCGTCCATGAAAACTCCAGTGTTACGCAATGCTCGGGCAGATATTTCGGAATGCGTCGTGAGTTGACGGAGTCGGTGGAGTAGCCCGGGAGACCCCTCTTTCGAAGCGAATCGAAGTTTTAACCCTTCGTTCGAAACTCAACGATCTCAACCGCTAACACCGGGCTCTCGCGTTGGTTAAAAACGCTTGTTGTGGCCATAATTTATGAAGATATGCCCTACCCATCTGTTGAGAGTTCACCGACGAGCTTGTACAAGCTTGGAACAGGAAGGAAGGTCATGAGAGAACGAGCACCGCCAGAGTTTGCGAAGAGCAGTAAATCTGTCTATGACAGAACCATGTGAGCAAGTGAGACTAGGGAAAGTTCGCCGAGATCCGAGCACGACATTTGATAGCCGTTGCAGTGGGAAATCGCCATCGAGTCAATTAGGCTCGTCAAGGCGGCAGGTTTCTGCCGACTACGAACTTCAGATCTCTATTTTCTCTTTCTTTTCCCCTTGACGAAATGGAGCTCCTCGCTCAGAGTGCCTCTGACTGAGCTCGATCGGACCCGACATTGTGCTTCCTAAAGAAATCGGCGTGCATTGTACGCAACTACATGTAGCTGTCTGAAGACGGCACCGTGACCGACAAAACCACAAAACACGGGCACCCTCTTGACTGCAAGAATGAAAGCGATCAACTGGAAGACATTAGGCCACTGTTCAAAGACTTCGCCTGACCGCCATCGCTCGGCTCGCCGACATGCTGCGTAGACGACTCGCGTAGGCTCGGAGCGAGTCTACGGGCTCGCAAGACGCGTTGACAGCGCTCACATGTTCGAGCTTGTCCCAAGTCAACTGGGCAGCAGAAATAATCTCAGCCCGAAACTAGATGCTCCGCCAGGAAATTAAGCATATTTATTGACCAAGCAAGGTTCAATCCTCTCTTCAGGCTCAATTGCAATTGTTCCACTCGTCAGACGTATTCTTTATACAGGAACTCGGGCTCCCCGCATTCAATAGCAGATTAGGTGATCCTCCAAATTGAAACTAACTCGCTTCTTGTTCTTTGGCGGGCTCGAAACTGTCTCCGGGCGCGATCCGAGGGCGAAGGAAGGTTCCTTGCTGAGGGTTGTAGTGGGCGAAGCTTCACATAAAGACACATAGACTTTAATGCCAGAAAAATTTCAATTCAAATTTCGGCCTTGGAGCATCACCCGAATCCTCCATATACCATTTACTAGAGAAACTCACCGCGTGTCCACGTATCTGGGAAAGATGGGACTTGTCGGCGGCTTGCCCTGTGATCCCCTCTCGTATCGTGGAAAAGTTGGGCTCTTGGGACTTGTGGGACGATCAACTTCGTCAGGAATGGGTGACGTCGGGAGCGGAGGAGAGGCTCCGGAGCTCGTTTCGGAGTCCTTGGCTGCAATTTAATTTGTGATCTTCATGAAAGATGATAGGAAAGTTGTATTATTCTACTGCAGACAATTAGAACCCAACCCTCCGACTTCGAGAACTCTGTTCGTTCGTAAGCTAAGCAAGCCTGGGATCGGCCTCACGGAAAAGGCTTCTTAGGCGAGAGAGATCGGTCGAATTTTCCTCTTCTTGAGTTTTCGCACGCAAGAAACTTCGCGAGAGACGAAGTTTCTAAAATCCTCAAGTGCTAGCGAGTTTTCCAATCGCCAATAGCTACCTGGGGCAAGAGGTGGCGACGTTTGCTTCGGCCGTCTTATGAGCGGGGCCGGAACTTCGTACAAGTCGTTATTAACCAGCATTGTATCAGGCACCTTAGCGTGGCCGCGATCGACGTCATCTTGCTTCAGGGGCTGCTCCTCGGCTTCTTGAATAGAAAGCGACTGAATTAGCGACTCCCTATCCGAGCCCACGTGCGGCCTTTCAACGAACGAATCGCATTCAAAGTGAGCACCTGCCCCGCTGGCTCCATCGTCGATCTTTTCGATCGTGAATTCCGTGTCGACCACAACCCCTACGCTTGAGGGACGTCTTTCGTATTCAACGACATCTCCCGACTCCTTGGCGCTGGCGATTTGCGAGTACAGTTGGGATTTCACACAGGTCAATGCGATGATCATCGATACCACCTACAAGTTCGGAGATCTGATCCTACAATATCCAGGAGACTCGCAGGCCCAGATGACGGCGGTTCCGAGCTCGATAAAAGATGCTTCATATCAATTATGTATCGAACCGTGAACACCCACTTCAAGCAGGAAGAGAAGTAAACACAGACAGTAGACAATGACGAAGGACAACTGAAAATGAATCATCAAATAATAAGTCAGATAGCAAGTCATCGCCCACGGAGGCGCAAATACGTTTCGATTCTACGTGAATCCGAGCCGGCACATCCTCACCCCTTCCGAACTCCCGCGAGGCTCGTCGGTGCCACCCGCTATCACTGGAGACCTCGAGTCCAGGAAAGCATGACCGCCGACGATCAGTTCCAGAACGGCCATGCAGACACATGTAATGATGAAAAGCCTGATGGCGCGCCTCCGTTTTTCGGTCTAGATCGACGGTAGAGAGCGAGAGATCCTTGTGAATGTCGAGTGTTATCAGTCAGTCAGAACGCGCATCCGATCGGTTCTCTCCTTGAATACACTCACGTTTATCTCGCGGAGGCGAAAATAAAATCTCAGACAAAAGACCACCATAATGCAGGTGGTAAGGGCAGAAGCGAAGAAAATCCATTTCCATTTCGCTGTAAAATAGGAAATATTCGTCATCGTGGAACCACTCCCTCGGACGAAATTGCACGAGCTCCGCGGTACTTTCTCTGGACAATCAGAGTAATGGTGACTCGGCGGTCGAGTCACCCGTTTCTCGTCATCGTATTTAGAGGCTGGGTGAGTTCCTAGGAGACATGAATGCTGGTCCCGAACCGGGAGCAGACGGAGCTTCTGGTTGATACAAGTCAAGCGGGACTGCTCACAGGTTAAAGGCTGAAGTTCTTCTCGAACGGAAGCGAGACCCAAGTGAACGCCCGATGCTAGAGCGACAAGTGCGGTCGCAGCTGCAGCACACTGTCAAATAAACATTTTTCGTATCCTCGTCCTAGTCACGGACGGCGACTCTCCTCGTTATCGTCTTCAAGCTTAAGACGCACTCGAAGCTGAGTTTTACAAGTTTACAAGGCGATAAAGATGACCTACCGCTCGAAACAGTGCTGAACTCTTCAGTAGAGTTTGTCGAAAGGCAGACGGAGAAGTCGAGCTCAGAATCTTGGTGTCCATTTCGTCCCGTTTGCCGCGAAGGCTGTCTCCGGGAAATCTATTGGATACCGAGCGAACGGGGCACAGGGCTTACTTGGCCTCACCTCTAGAGCTATTCAGCTTCTTCCATGATCCTTACAAATCGGCAACGCCCAGGTCTCGCGGCTATCGCAAACTCTGCGCCGACTGACGGACCGTTACGACGTCGCGATCCACGCTCTGCTCGTATCCCCGGCATCGCATCGTTGGCTTGAGAGAGAACATCGATTGCCATTGACGGTTTCCGCGTGCTCGAAGGCTCACTGTTGGTTGAAGTTCGAAAGCGGGCCGCAGAAATTGAGTCGTCTATCCCCGCGATTCCAGTCGAAACTTTTATTGCTGACTTTGCCCTGATCGGATTCTAAAAGAGAGGTATTCCATCATTCAAACATTGTGCCCTCTCTAATGGAGCGCCGCAACCGTGCCAAATATTAGTAGCGGCAATCCGACACCACGCAATTGAAAATTTTCTAGCCTGAATCATCTGGGGCGTCACATCGGCAATCCCTTTCTCATGCTTTCGATCGCTCGCCTCGTGAGAGCGATTCGAGAACAAAGCGATCGACCAACAAATTCCAAATTCTGATGATCACATGGAGTCGCCATCCCTCCTCAACCCAGATGGATTGTGATTTACGGCTGAAAGAGTGGAATTCTGCGGCTGTCGTCTCTAGTCATTTTGCTTTGCCGTCGCGTCGCCTCCAATCAGCCCCGGGAGTTGAATATCCCAAATCAATTCGACGTCCAGTACATAGAGATCCGGAGTCAGTCAGTTGTGTTTGCTCTGAAGCGACGGTCACTATATCCTTAGAATTAACGACCGTCTCCGTAGTGTTTCGGAGGTGGCCAAAAGCTCGGTACACCGACCGTTGAGATTCAGTCCGATCCCCGCATCCGCCGATGGAAGTGACCTGAAAGTCAAATCCACCAGAATTTCACCTGTCCAGCGCACTGAATGTGACTTGGGTAGAGCAGGAGAGTCGCTGACTCACGGGATAGGCGCCTACATCGAGGCTCGTAGAGGTTAGGGCATGGAGCTTGCCCGGGATGACTACGTTTACACCATCCGACGCATTCGTGCTCAATCGTGAACAGGTAGATTTTTGTAATTGAAAGGCAGTGGTTGAGAAGTGTGAGGGTATATAAGAGAGCACGATTCAGTAGAATAAACAATTGGAGATAACGAAGAGTCTTTACTGGCGCAGTCGATTTGGAGAATGGCTAGGTCACCGTCCGGATCTATGCCTACAGATCTGTGAGTCACGCAGATTCATTCATGGAGAGTTGTTGGAGAACTTCATAATTCAAGGATCCCGTCTCTGTCCGAGACAAGGCACTGCTCAAAGCTGCGAGTCGCTCAGTCTGGCACCGTAGAAATTGAGTGCTGGTGTAGGACGTCAAGAAAATCGGAGGCCGGAATGACCTTACACTACAGTCCGAGTGGGGTCCCCCTTCGAGAATCTCGGCCCCGTTGGATTGAAGTTTTCCAAGAAGTGTCCGAATGATTCCCATTTTACGCTCAATCCCAGGAGGGATTGGATCAAAAGTCCGGGGGTGTGAGGGTATATAAGAGAGCACGATTCAGTAGAATAAACAATTGGAGATAACGAAGAGTCTTTACTAGAAGTAGTACATTTATCAATTGTTACCATAATCAGGTCTGAGGATACAAATTACAGTCATCCTTCATTGTTTACCAGTAGCGTACGAGAACTCTCTGACCAACAATAACGTGACGAACATCGAGAAACACAGCAAGGTTCGTTTGACTAGCTTTGATTCCATTCGTTTCTCTCTGCGTATATTCTCTGGGTTTCCGCTGTCGTTCATTTCCCGCTCTCAACAATATCATTATCGGTGCTTCTTTCCATGAAAAACTTCATCTCCCTGTTCCACGAACTTGATGGTATCGCTTTGGCAGGCTACGTTACTTTCCCGCATCAGAATCAGAAGTCAAGAAACAGGTCTCGCTTTGAAACTGGCGGTCCGGCGAGAAGGTACCGCCACACGGCGACAGTTATAATTATACACTTTTCAGAATCGATTGTTGAAATCATCCTGGCTCGATGACAACGCGTCCACCGACTGATTGAAAGGAAGAATCAGACGTGATCCGCTTCTCGGAATGATGACGCGCAGGTGCACACGGAGCCGTACTGTATGCCTTGCGCCGAGAATTCGTCTGCCCGTCCGTCAAGCATTCATTCATCTCTACATTCATGATACCACCGTTCCATTCATCAATTCATTCCTCCTTTGGAACAATGGTGATACTTGCGCTCGATCAGCATGGTCAACTAGTAAACATCCATTCCTTCGAACAAGCATACGCAAACAGATACGATGATCTCGCCGATTCAGTAAATCCGATCAGGCAGCTCTGTCAGCAGTGGTTGGCGTGGCGAAACTGGCGTGATCAACACCGACAGACGCGAGTGCCGGCCGTGACTCCAGTTCGGACAAAGCGAGACCGTAACCGTCCTTTCGAGCGTCCTGTCGAAACGGCGGCGGCGAAGATCATGCTAACAATAACCGAAACCATCTCCATGCGGAATGGCGCGCTCAAGCTCAGCAACTCCTCGCAGCTGGAAGGTTCGACAGTCCTCGCAGCTGGAAGGTTCGACAGTCCTCACAGCTTGGTGTAAAACTCCATCAAATCGACAGCTTGTGACTGCACCGCGTGGATTCAAGCTCAATTGCGACAACTCGCGCTCAATGCCGTCAGATCAAAAGTTCCGTTAGCTGATTACAAAATTATTACCTAACATAGATTAGCCAGGTACCTCAGGACAGCCAGGACTTCAGATGTCAGCTAGCGGATATAACTTACGTAACTGTCTCAGGACCCCAACGATAGCCTCGAGGATTATTTCGGGAGTTCCTCTCCATTGCATTGCATTAAGACCGTCACTTACAATTAGTCAGTCGAATCATTCGAGCGAGTTAGAGCTTCCGTATTTCGAGCAAACGACCGATAGATTCGAAAGCGGAGCATTTTTTCCTTCAGTAGGTTCGGGAAAACGGAAATTCCCCTGAAAGAAGACTTGCTTGCGAACATGAACGGATCAATTGGCAACGTCTGCGTACATATGCTGCCGGGATTCACGTCAACCGAACCAAGGTAGTATGAATCACGGAGGGCAGACATTCGAGCAGTGCTTCCTTTCTTGTAGAAGGTCAAGGTCATGATGGTCAACCATCCTTGGGTCGGGTTCTGTTTGGCAGTGATTCGGTGAACGGGTGAAATCATAATTTGTGGCGTGATACTCCGACTCTCGTCACAGTAAACGACCCCAAAAAATGCACGGTATCAAGGTATCGACAGAGGGTCCCGATGACCGACCAGGATTGCCTTCCTTCTTGGGGATTCTCTCGAATTGGCGCTCTTTCTCAGAAAGTAATTCTTCAACGTCGAAAATTTCGTCGCATTCTCAGGCCGGATTCCCTTGTTAAACACAGGCGTCAATGAGAAGACCCTTCCACTCTCTCACAGGATTCGCTGATTGACTTTTGGGCAAATCGTCGTGCGGTAGAGGCGGTTTTCAGCTTATCGTTGAGGCTTCCCGTCTCCTGCATCCAGTCCGGGAAATCCCTAATTATATCCGTTCCATGGTTTGATCAATTCCAAAACTCTCTTGTTCCTATTTGGAAGAATGACGATCATAAGTGTTACGAGCCGGATTCGAAGAAGCCCCCGTGATAACACGCCTCACGGGTGCGTGATCGGATCGAAAAGAGCAACCATCGACAAACATGGGAGCTTCTTTCTGCATCGTTCCTCCGAATTTGAATGTATCGGGACTCGCAGCTGAAGAGGTGTGATATCTCAGAGAAAGAGAGAGAGAGCAACGGCTTGTAAGGGAGCGGAAGCGCTCGATCGCGGCGAGGTGAGCTCCGGAACGTCCATCATTCAACAGCGACGTCATTTCGGCATACCCGCGTATGCCCGGAAGAAGCACACAGTGCCGAGTTTCTCGAAGGGATCGATCATATCTTGAGACGTCTTGGACAGACTATATGGGGAGAGTTCTTTGATGACTGGATCTACATCGGTAAGATGTAAAAAAAAAGATGCCATGAATCGCGGTTACTGAGAGCACTCCACAAAGCAACGTCGGCGTCGGTGGGAGATAGCTCATAATTATATCTTTTTCATACAAAGCCCGAGGGGAAAGTCAAAACGCTTCCTTCTTCTGTGAAGTCGTGGGGGTTGATCCCGTCGTGCGACTCATATGCACTCTCAATCTCTCAATACTTTGTTGCTTTGTGTGAATTTTGGCATGACGTTATCGATGATGATGATGATATTCATAATGATAACGCTTCGATGATGAATAGAAAAGCATGACCAACGTGATATTTGTCACGGCTCGTGATGATAAGGAGTACTAGGAGTGACGATAGCTTGTGGAAGGCTCGAGCAGTGTCGCTTCGGAATCTCAGAATGTCGGTGTGAAAGCTCCCAATCATTCGATGTACCGATTCTTCCAGGTTTGTCACATGAGTGTGAATATTTGCGCATTCATCGGAAGTTACCAGGGACTGATGATGGCTCGGAGTATCTCAGGAATAGGAGTCGAACTCGCAACAAGGCACGATGCAAAGCAAGCTGCGAATCGATCTATTGCAGTATCGAGGATGACTCCCTCCTTTCCGAATTCGCTCAGCATCGCCGTGTTCGCTCGCATTCCGTAGAAAACCGCTGTCCGATAGCCGTCGTGGACGCACGGTATGGGGAAGCGCTGCCCCGTAGGCGACCCCGGAGAAGTTCCCCGCCCGCTCCGGCAGCGCCCACTGATTTTCTCGCCGAAACTCTGTAGATAGTTCTATCTACCGACAGTTGGCGAATCTCTCAGCAGTTCCTGCCGGAGAGTGTCCCTGGTCGGACATGCCTGGTCGGTTTCCGATCTCCAGAAGGATATGATCAGAGATTCAGTATCTCTCGACCGAGATTCCCCTCCGATGGTCGGAAAAGTTTGTAGACTGATCCTCCGGGGAACTAAAGCTATGAGCTTAAGCTGCGTGGCTTCTTCCAGTACCGCCGTCGAGCCATATGAAACTTGGAACTTTGTAACGTTTTCCATGAACTAAGGCAGCAACCACGTTGAGCACTTTCGGGGGCTCGGTTGCACGGCGAACCCCGTGTGATGTTCTGGCTCTATTCGGACGTTCCTAATGACGATGATTGATGGGTGTCCTAAGTCGTCGCTGTCTTCTAGCATGATTTACTTTCTCGGCCTCCCCCTCCTCCGACTATTCGACGTATTTTCTTTCTCTGGTGAAGACTTTGTGTCTATCTCCTCTCATAAACGACGGCAAATGGGGGGAATGCCTCGTTTCCGG